TGTGCTTTACACAATTGATGTATGTATGGATTGTGATAAGAGTTGTATGAGCCCCAACAAAATGATTAAAAAAAAGATTCCATCCTTGAGGCAAAATTATAAAAATTTCTTAGCCATAACCAAACACATAAGGGAATGAGTCACAGGGCCTGGGGTTCAAGACCATAATCTCAAGGGACACTAAAGTCAACTAGACACAAGGCAATGTTCTACACATTCCACTTTAGTGAACAACAACCAGGGTCTTCAAAGTAAGTTAACAGCCATCTAAGGAGCAATTCGTGGTCTCTCCCCTTCCTGAGCAAAGAAGACAGAAGAAAATCAAAGATGCACAGGGACCAGAAGAACTAGCTGGTACCTGGACACTACTGCCAACTGTTCTGAAAGAGATCGCAATAGTAGGTATTGGATAGATCAGGAGAAATATATAAACAAAACTCAAAATTAAAAAAAAGAACAGGCTTATTGCCCTGTTAAGAGATGGATGGAATCTCTAAGACTATGACCCTTAAATATCCTTCAAGCCTGGAAGTGAACTGATGAGTATGGCTCAACTTTCAATGAAATGACAGGTCTATAAATTGAATAATTACACCAGGAAGTATTTGTTTACTACAATAATCAACCATAAGATACCAAAGGACAACATTTTCCCAGAATAAAGCTCAGAAGACAGAAAGGATTAGGAAAGAAGATCAAGGGAAATGGTAAACACATATAAGAAACAGGTAGTTGTTAATACAGTGTGGGTATTGAAATCAAAGTTACAAAGCAAAGTAGGTAAAAATTGTTGAATGGAAACTTTCCTCCAAATCACAATTTTAAAAAGTGTGATTATTTCATTGATTTTAATAATATTTAAATATTTCTACAAAACACAAAGACTTCTTAGGTGTTTAAAAGAAGTATAAATATTTTTAGAAAACAATTAACTAGGTACTATAAATAAAATTATGTACATCCTTTTACCCCATAAGATTAAATATTGTTATATTTGACACCATTTAAATTTCATATCCCAATTCTTCTAACCTATTTTAAAATTATGAGGCTAGCTTTGTTAGTGTAGTTTCCCCACTCCACCCCACTATTTTCAACTATTCTACTTGCACCTGAAGGGTGTCCTCGGCCAATCCACTGCCACCGTCCCTTCTGACACAGTGACCCTAGAGGACAAAAGAGAACTGCTGCTGAGACTTTCTGAGCGCAGTCTCATTTTCCTCGCAAGGTATAGTCGGTAGGCATGAACTGCTGGCCTTGTGGTTAACAGCTGCATGTGTACCCAATTTGCTACAGGGCTTCTACCTTATAAGTGTAAGCCGTCCAATGTTTTATATTTCAACAAATACAAAAATGAGAACCCATATACTGTTACGTTACTAATATTATTTCACAGAGTAAGTATTAAGTATGGATTCTGAATTAGCCCTTGTTATAATACCAAGATTGACTCGATAAGAAAATGAAGGTTTAATTTTTCTTAGTAATTTTGGAATGATGTCAAAATATATTCTTATAAAAGCTTTTCACTTAAATATTTCATACCCCAATCAACTTTCATTTTGATTAATTTTCCAATACTTTTGGCAAGTCTATTTTCAAATTATTTGAGGTCAGCACAGGATTAAGATGCACTGAACATGAAAAACATATGACTTACCTCTCACCCCCGTGAAACAATAAGCATTTTATGATAGTTCAAACTATCTGTTTTAGTTTTACAAAACAAAATTTCTACTCTTTGTATGAAGGAAATATAAAAATAGAACTCTGTACTTTTCCTAGGTATTTAAGTAATGGCAAAAATAAAGATGGTGATGGGAACTAAGCCGGAAATCATGATAGAATTTTGCAAGACCAATGACTTCTTAATTGCACATACCCTTTTCCCAATAACATAAATAGTAACTATATACATATAACTATAGACCTCATCGGGTAGTCTTTACAGGGACCAAATAAACTACATCTGTGGAAAGAGACAATGGGATGTTCAACATCATCAGCCAAAATAAGGACAAGGATCAACTGAGGCGCAGCCCATCCTTTTGCTCATGTGTAAGTTCAGGTTGAAGCTGAAGAAAATTAAAACAAGTAGATAATGAGCTGAAATATGACCTTGAGTATATCTCACCTGAATTTAAAGAATTTCTCAGATTTGACACAATGAACAATAAAGAATGAAGACCAGTTGAGTTGTGGGATGATTTCAAACTATCATACATGAAGAAAGCACAAGATTAAAAAACAAAACAAAAACCAAGAAAGAAAGGAAGACCGAAGTGGGTCTGAATCTTGCTCTAGAACATAGAAGTCAATAAATGGAAAAATGCTTAAGATGTGAGAAGACGAAAAGTTATAATGAAATGTACACAGTCCTGGAACTAGAAAACCCAAATGGAATATGCTCATCATATATCAAGCTCAAAGAACTGAAGAAAAAATTCAGTTGATTTGGAATATTGAAGGACTTTAGAGACAAAATACTGAATAATGCAGGAACTATCAAAGATGGAAGGAATAGAGAGAGTCACTTTGCCAAGAATCGGTCAACATTCAGTCATTTCAAGAGGCAGCATATGATCAAGCACAGATGATACTGAAGGAGGAAGTCAAAGTTGTACTGAAGGCATTAGTGCAAAACAAGGCTCCAGGAAATGACTGAATACCTATTAAAATGTTTCCACAAACTGAGGCAGCACTAGAAATATTCACTAAAACCAAGTGAAAAAAACCACACAAAACAAACCCACTGTCATGGAGATGATTACAACTCAGAGAGCTCTACAGTACAAAGTAGAACTGCCCATTGGGTTTCTGAGGCTGTGTGTTAGTCTGGGTACTTTGGAGAAACAAATCCACAAAAACTCATGTATAAGAGTTTTATAAAAAGGTTAATTTAAGTGTGCATCAAGTAAACATCCCAACCCAGTGTTGCCCAAGCCCACAAGTCCAACATTAACCCATTAACCCAAATGTCCAACACCAATCCACAAAGTCCTCCTCCATCTCACAAAACAGATGCAATGATGTTGACTTCAGGAGAAAAGCCGAGTCAGTGAAAGTGTAAGCATCTCAGCGCTGGCAGGGGTCTCCACATGGGTGCTCCAGCACCCAGGGCTGCATTGGGGTAAGTTCATGTGGCTTTTCTTCAGGGATGTCTTGTAGGAAGTCAGCCTTGCAAGCTGAAGCAGGGAACTGCTAAAGCAGCTGCACCCTGGTGCGACCATCACAAAGTAAGAGATCCGAGAACTAGAAGGGCGAGGCTCACTGAGCCATTTATCCCTCCACCTTTCAATTAACCACACATATGTTTATTGGCCAGGTTGGCACAATAAACTAACTATATCAGGTTGTAAATCTTTCAGGGAATAGAAAGTCTTATCTTTTTACCACTTATTCCCAGTGGAATAGGTGACTGCTAACTCATTAGTCTATGCAAGAAATTTGTAACATAGCTACATGGCTAACTGACTGGAGGAGATCCATATTTGTGCTCATTCCAAAGAAAGGTGAACTAACTAAGATGTGGAAATTATTGACCATCACTAATATCACATGCAATTAAAATTGTGCTAAAGATAACTTGATAGCAGTTGCAGTAGTACACTGACTGGGAGCTGCCAGAAATTGAAGCTAGATTCAGAGGGGACATGGAACACAGGATATCACTGCTGACATCAAAGAATTGGCTGAAAGCAGAGAATACCAGAAAGACATTTATTTGCATTTTATTCACTATGCAAAGGTACTCAACTGCATGAATCATAACGAACTATGGTTAATATTGAGAAGAAAGAATAACACAGCACTTCATTGTGCTCACATAGAACCTGTAGAGCAGTGGCTCTCAACCTGTGGGTCGCGACCCCTTTGGGGGTTGAACGACCCTTTCACAGGGGTTGCCCAATTCATAACAGGAGCAAAATTACTGTTACGAAGTAGCAATAAAAATAATTCTGTGGTTGGGGGTCACCACAACATGAACTGTATTAAACGCTCGCGGCATCAGGAAGGTTGAGAACCACTGCTGTAGAAGGTGAAGAGGCAGTCATTCTAACAAAGTGGAGAATGCTGGTTTAAATTCAGGAAAGGTGTGTACTTATTCAAAGTTCATGCTGATCAATAATCTGAGAAACTGGATTAGATGAAGAAAAGCATGGCATCAGGATTGGAGGAGAACTCCTTAACAGCCTGCGATATTCAGATAACACAACCTTGCTTGCTGAAAGCCAAGGGAACTTGAAACACTTGATAATGAAAATAAAATACTGCAGCCTTCAGTGCTGATTGCTACTCAACATATAGAAAACAAAATTCCTCACAACTGGACAGAAGACATCATCATGATAAATGTTGGCAGGGATTTCCTTTTCCTTGGATCCACAAACAAAACTCATGGAAGCAGCAGGCAAAAAATTACACAACATATTGTATTGGGGAAATCTGCTGCAAAATTTTCCTAAAATATTAAAGAGTAAGGTGTTACTTTGATGGTTAAGATGAGCCTGACTCAAGCCATGACATTTTAACCGCCGCATATACGTGTGGAAAAGAAGGCTACTGAAGAACTGGTGCCTTTTAATTCTGGTATTGGTGAAGAATACTGAATTTACCAAGGACAGTCAGAAGAACGGACAGCAGGCAGAATGTTCCTTAATGTGAAGCTAGAGGAAATTCCCCTCACACACACTGGACATGTGATTAGAAGAGAACAGTCCCGAGAAGGGTGTCATGCTTGGGAAACTCAGCCAGAATGAGCAGGACCTCCTAAGATGGACTGATCGTGGCCGCAATAATGGGTCTGAACATAAGAACAATTGCGAGTTTGGTACAGGACGGGGAACTGTTTAATTCTTTTATACACATGTGCGGGAACTGCATTCAGGGCACCTAACAACAAGAGCAAAACTAAAGAAAATAACCACATTGGCACCTTTATTATTTGAAGAAAGTTAGAATGGTTCTGTGAGAATGTGGTAGTTGTAGACTGGTTGTATGAATCTGTTCAGTTTCTAGCAAATTTTGCCCTAATGGTCACTTCCCCTTAAGGTTGTAAAACCACTTTCTTTTATATAAAATAAATGCTGTCCTTTTACAAGTAAGGCAGAGTAATTGGAATCCCTTTCTTGCATTAAATTACTTCCTTTAATTAAAGTCTCAACTTACATTTTGCCAATTGCTGGTGCAAATTATTCAGTGTGTTCATGAGATTTTTACATGGCTTCTTTGGAAGTATTTTCCAGGCTACATTTTTCTTATCTCCAGTTCTGAGATGAAATGATAACATTAATATATTTGTTAGCTGGATTTTTTGATAAAATCATATACCTGTTACATATAGAAAAAGGAAAAAGAGAACTCACTGCACAAAGAATATTTTAGTTAGGATAAAAATAGTAGCAAATTGAGATGTTGAATATTTAAACACTAATTTACATGATGATAGACCCTTGTATTAACTTTAGCTCACAGTTTTGTGATTATGTTGGTAATCAATCAATTTTTTTTGCACTGGAATTAAGTTAATCACCACAAAGCTTAATGTGGTATATATTAATCTTAAACCTTACTTAACAGTATTTAAAAGACAAAACTCATAGCCAATTCACTGCTACCTTCCTTGTAGGATAAAATAGAACTATTCCTTAGGATTTCTGAAACTGTAAATGTTTATAGGAGCAATCTCATCTTTTTCTCATCTATGGGCTAGAGGTCTTGAATTAATAACTATCTTACTGTCAGAAAGCCAATGCTTAATCCACTGTGCCACCAGGTATCCTTTAAACGTGTTTACCCTACTGCCATGGACTGGATGTTGACTCATAGTGACTCTATAAGACAGAGTAGAAATGCCCCTTTGTGTTTTAAAGGCTGTACATCTTTAGAGGAGCAGAAAGCCTCCTCCTTTTCCCTCAGAGTATTTGAATCCATAAGCCACGAGGACTGTTTCCAAACAAAACAAACACAAACTCACTGCTACTGAGTAGACTGTGACCCTATAGGAGAGAGTAAAACTGTCCCTGTGGATTTCCAAGACAGCAATTCTTTACCGGAATAGAAAACCTCATCTTTCTTCCAGGAATATTGATAAGTACAAGTGATTCACATTGTAACTCTGGCTTTTTAACTCATTAGTGATTAAAGCAGAAAGAAAAAAGAGTAAGCAGGAAAGTAAGAAAATATTAATTTATTACAAAAACAGTGTATGTTTACTTACTACTTTTAATTATAAAAAACTATAAAAACTGCAAAGACAAAGATATTACATTAATATTTAAAGAATAATATATTCCTGGAAAATAATTAACTGTTGCTGGTAAAGAATCTTTGACTTTAAATATGCCATATGAAAAATGATTTCTATATACAAAATCCAAGGAGGTTTCAAAAAGTTAGTGGAAAAAGCTTTTTTTACAGCAAATCTTCTTTGTAATAGAAGACTGATTCTTTTGCTAAACTTTTCTAATGACTTAGGCACTTTAGGCTTTGACATATGAAAAAACTGAGAGTCATTTGAAACTATGCTAGTTTGGGGATTTCCTAATAAACTAAACTGAAGTTAAATATGTCCTATAATGACTTACATCACTTTTTCCCCCCTGGAATACTTAAGTATAATTAAACTGAAAATAAGGAGTGTTTAAAGAAAACACAGGGATATAGTGAGTTATAAAGGAAAATATAAATCCAATAACTACAACTTAGATACTATTCCAATACACGGAAAACACAAAATTCTTGTATTGCTAAAGTGTAAAGGTGGTAAAAATAAAATGGAAAAGTTATTAATATTTTAACATGATTCATTAATTTCTCTATGAAATAGTAATAGTATAATAGCATTACACAGGACTAGAAACAGAATTGTTGAATTAATCAAGAAATAGTATTTTAATCAGTAATTTTACCTATAACCATCTGATTAAAGAGAAATAAATATTTTTGTATTTTTAATTTGTTTCCTTTCTGCTAAATTTTTAAATAAGTAGAAGACTAAAATGTTTCTTAAATATTTGAAGAGCTAAGAATTGAGTTTATTTTTTTTCCACTAAAGCCTTCCTCAGGATTCTAAATATAACAATTGAGGCACAGTAAGAGATTAAAAGATGGCAATAACTACAAATGCAAAGAAAATGTATCTCAAATTAATTCTAATGGTGCATTCACAAAATATGCATTTATATACCTATACCATGTGGTTGAAAATTATTAGGCATGGCATTACTAAAAGGTACTTACTGAGAAATGGTGTTGGTATCTAGGTCAACACAACTCACATCTGGTGGAGGATCATAGAGATCAAAGTATCTTGAATCAATCCCTACGATGAATGGACATGGTGCACTCAAGACGTCTGCCAGGGCCAGTGGGCAGAGAGGGACATATGGGCACGGCCAGTGAAAAGGGAAAATCATCTTGGATAAACAAAAGACAGGAGAATATTTAGGTTTTTTAATATACTGAAGTATATTAAACTATAAACACACAAAATTATCTTTTAAATACTTACACCTAAAGCTTGATAATAAATTAAAGTATTACATCTAGAGTTAAGAAATTAAAATTGCTTCCACAATAGAAAAATTCATTACTCTCTGAATTTTAGATGAGCTTTAAAATGACATTACATTCTATAATTATATTAGGTTTAAAAATAAACTGATTATCAGTGAGAAGGTGTGATACTCACCGACACTAATGCTTCTGTCACACTAGTAAGCACGGAAGGCCGTAAGGAATGGATGAGAATTTTATGTTCTGTTACAGCAAACACCAGTAATGTTACAGCATTTTCCGGGCCTAAATTCTGAAGTAGTGTTGAAAACTTGCCACCACTGTCAATTTAAGCAAAATATACTTACTGACTATATGATTTAAAGAATAAGGACCAAAATATATGTATAATTTGGTAAATGATTTTTTGGGTCTGTGAATGGTAAAAAATATTTCTACATATATTAATGTCACTTGCTTCTTCATTTTACACCATTTCAGCTTACGAGCCACTTCACAGTAATGCTCTATTTTTGGATGGTAGGGATCTGTAGTAACGGACCATCAAGAGTTCAAAACAATGAGATAGATAACCAAAGCAAATTAATAACCAAAGCAGAATTAGATCTTGTATATGGCAACATAATATTAGTTGGGAAAAAGTAATTAATGTTGCAAGCCAACTACTATTTTGCCAATATAATACTATATACAAATTTTACTGATTTTTTAAAATATGGCAAAGCTAATAAAATCTCTCAGAGAAATGAAAACACATGCACACATATAACATGTGTCTTTTCATAAGTAGTAATATTCAGATTAGCCCAAAAGTAGAGACAACCTAAATATTTTGGATCATTGATCATTAACATATAGTCTCAGTATTCCTAGTTTATTTTGGGTCTTAACAAAGGTTAAGAAAACAATGGTCACTCGGCACCAAAGCCTGCTGATGAAACATTTGCAATTCTTACAAAACTCATGTCAAAGAAGGCAGATGATCTCCCTTAGAAATGTTCTACATAATAACTTATTTACATGGTAACTATTTTTCTGCTGGAAAAATGATATAGTTAACTGAATTTCAGTAAAATATGCCATAAAAAGTCATGTTTCATAACTTTATATTTATATGTTGTTTTATTTCTGTAATTTGTTAATCATAATTACCGTTCTTTTGGGGTCACTTTAAATTAATTGCAGTTTTATGTTCTCCAGAGGATAATTAAAGCTAAAAATAATTGTTTTCAAAATCTACTCGTATGTGTATTTATATAATAGTACTGATGATAATAACTAGATATAAAAATACCCAAAAAATACCACAAAGGTTTCTTTTTTATTATTAAAGTCTCTAAACTAAATATCATCAGGTAAATGGAATTAAGCTAAGAGAAAAAGGTAAACGATAAATATTTTCAACAATATTTGAAATTTATCTAGGAGATGATAAAATATTTGACTGTCATTTGGATCTCACACTAGTAATTGGAGAAACTTAAAAAAAAATTTACTTGCCTTAGTGGAAGAGGTGAAGAAACAGGCTGACTGAGAATCAGATTATCATGTGGTGATAACTGGAAGATTGAAAATAAACATTTGAATTTTACTTTTTTTTCAAAACCTTTTTTATTGAAAATTAAAGAAATATCACATCATTCCATAGTTCAATCGCATCAAGCAGTACTGTGCAATCACTACCACAATCAGTTTTAAAACATTATTTCCCTCCTTGAACTCCTGAACATCCGCTCCCTTTTATCTCACCGCCCCGCCCACCACTGCTGTACCCGCCAGAAACCCTTACTGCACTTGCTGCTCCTACAGGCTCACCGACCCTCAGTTTTATATACTGAAAACCAGAAGACACATGAAGAGGGTGACCCCAGGCACACAATGCATCTGAAATAAACCCCAATTTGAACAAACACAAAGGATGTAAGTACAGAAACTGTTGAAAACTAGGTCAGGCCTAATGTGCATCAGAGGGGGAACCAACTGTCAAGGTTTTAACCACTCAAGTCAGGTTTATCCCTTTGATCGTCTTTTTTCTAAAATAATTTTATTAGGGGCTCATCCAACTCTTATCACAATCCATACATACACCAGTTATGTAAAGCACATTTGTACATTCATTGCCCTCATCATTCTCAAAACATTTGCTCTCCACATAAGCCCCTGGCATCAGCTCATTTTTTCCCCTCCCGCCCCGCTTCCCTTCCCTCAGGAATCCCTGATAATTTATAAATTATTATTTTGTCATATCTTACACTGTCCGATGTCTCCCATAAGGGGATGTCCAATTGCATACAGATGGGCTTTGTGTCTCCACTCTGCACTCCCCCGCATTCACAATGATATGATTTTTTGTTCTGATGATGCCTGGTACCTGATCCCTTCGACACCTCGTGACCGCACAGGCTGGTGTGCTTCTTCCATGTGGGCTTTGTTGCTTCTGAGCTAGATGGCTGCTTGTTTACCTTCTAGCCTTTTAAGACCCCAGATGATATATCTTTTGGTAGCCGGGCACTATCAGCTTTCTTCACTACATTTGCTTATGCACCCATTTGTCTTCAGCAATCGTATCGGGGAGGTGAGACACAATATGATTTTTTGTTCTTTGATGCCTGATAACTGATTCCTTCGGCACCTTGTGATCATGCAGGCTGGTGTGCTTCTTCCATGTGGGCTTTGTTGCTTCTGAGCTAGATGGCTGCTTGTTTACCTTCAAGCCTTTAAGACCCCAGACGCTATATTTTTTGATAGCCGGGCACCATCAGCCTTTTTCACCACATTTGCTTATGCACCCGCTTTGTCTTCAACAACTGTGTTGGGAAGGTGAGCATCATGGAATGCCAGTTTATTAGAACAAAGTATTCTTGCATTGAGGGAGTATTTGAGTGGAGGCCCAATGTCCATCTGCTACCTTAATACTAAATCCTTTTTTCTTGAACTTTTTCTATAAGGGAGAAATATTAGATGTCTGGGAGGGAGTTAATAAAATATTGAGTCTAAATTTCCTACATGAAATAGCATCCAGTTCTTCTTAGATATTATTAATTTCTTTTCTCACTTAGAATTATTGTCCTTATGTTCATTTTGACAGTCAGTAATCATTCAACGAGGCCCTCATAGCAAGAAAGCCTTACCTGAACTAAAATCCGTGGTCTCTGAGGAGATGGAAAAGGAACTTTGTGCATAAAATGAGAAATGTGCCTTAAGAAGAAAAACAAAAGCAAACGGACAAGTCAGTAAACAACCACAAAAAGCACTTGACTAAGTGCCAAGAAAGCAAGACTGTCTGAATTATCTGAATAATTAGAATAAGTAAAATGTGAACAGATTTCTAAAGATCTCTGTGATCTATTGGAAAGTGTATGTAACCAAGACTATTTTGACAATAGTATTAAGGTGTTATTTGCTTTTTTCATTGTAGGCATAGGCACTGAAGGTGCAAAAGCACTGTGGATATAGCTACTCTCAGTTAAGCATGAATTAAGGTAAAGGTACCATATTATACTAGTCACTGTATCCTTTATTAAAATACATACACAGTAAAATAAGGTATTCCACTTAAGAATTTCTTTAATTTAGGAACTGAAATACTTAGTTGGACTTAAGGCTGTAAAGCCCTAGTGTGAGAAGCTATCCCAAGGTTGTGGTTTTGGTAATCATTGGACTTTGGTTCAAATGTCATGCTTTAAGTGTACCCAATAATGGACAATTAAAGACCATCACATACTTGCTATCTTCATACTCATTGCTTTTTTATGATATGTCTTAGTTCAGAAGGTATTCTTCCTTTAGTGAATGAAAATTATTGAAAATTTTTGCCCTATCCCCAACCCTCGGTTTGCATAGTGTCCAGTAACTTAAGTTTTTAATCTGTACAAGTTAACAATCGATGTATTTTATTCTAAAAAGCTGCCCTGTATACGTATATTTTACTTTTCTCAGCAGTATTTTAAATTCTTTATCATTGGCTAAATTAGTAATATTATTGATAGAATTTCCATATGCCCCATGGGGATTATTTATAGCATTCCTCAATAAAAGGATAACAATATCTCTAAAGTGGACCATATAATATCTACCATAGACCACAGACCAATCTACTACATATAAATAGATTTTGAACTTTCACTTAATCATAAGCCCCAGTGTAAGAGCAATTAAATCTTATGGCATGGCCCTACTCAATTTGTTAAAGCAAAGTGATGATGCCCAGCTTTCAGAAAGAATAGCATCTGGGGCCTTAAAGCCTTGTATTAGAACAAGCAGCCATTTAAGTGAGGTGACAGCTAAGTCCACAGGAAGCAGCACACTAGCCTGTGTGACAAAAGGTTTCTAAGCAATAAAATCCAAGACTGGAGGAAGGAATTATATTGGAGCTTAAATGCTAAGCACTTAGTCTGCAAAAAGCTATGGACGCTAGTGAAAGCCCAAATCCATCTGCAGGGCCCCATGCGGATTACATCGCCAAGGATTCCCTTCTGACCACTGACCAGGGGTGTGAACAGCCTTGCTGTTAGACCGCATGAAGAGGTGGATTCATGCAGAGTAGTTACGTTGACATTGAACACCTATCACTGTTCTCCCTTTTGTCCCATTTGAAATTTGCTTCAGTTTTCATTATTTTCTGCTTTCTTCTACATTGAGTTATTTCAGCGTTTTATTTTGCTATTGTTATTGTTTTTTTTCATGATTATATGAAACCCAGGATAAGTAAATCTAAAGAGACAGTAACTGTCTTAATAGTTTATTAGGCTTATGGCAGATGAACTAATAATAAGAAAGACAAGGATTAAGAAAATGTTCTAGAATTGATTGTGACAATGACTGCATAAATCTTTTAAATATATTTAAATTGAATTAAATTAAATCATTGAATTGTATGTTAATTATGTTAAACATGTTAAAATTATAAAAAGGAATGTCTTTAATTTTATAAGTTCATTATAACATCTTTAATGAGCTTGTTGTCTTAAAGAAAATGACAGTGTTTGTTGTCAATAATTGTATTCAATTTTCAAGCAAAAATTAGGATTTTTCCAACAAGAGTCTTGACAGTTTCCTAAGCCTTGAAAACTTTTCTAGTGATATTAAGAAATATATTACATTAATAATGAAATGTTAGGGAGATAATGCTTAACTCAGCAAACCAGTATTTCCAAAAGACCAATGCATAATGCTATAAAATCATGCACAAGTAAAAGTTCCACTGAAAGAACAAGATAGATCTATGGATTTTACTGTAACAAAGAAAAAGTTCGCTGTGTAAGATTCAGAGTCCATACTGCAAAGAGTATAAATAACTACCACTTTTTGAATTTTGGTGTAGTGTGAAAAAAACAAACAAAAAACCTAATTTTGAAAAGGCTATTCAAATGCTCATTTTTCTACTTATTTCTCTGTGTAAGGCCAGAGTTTCTTCATATATGCCAACCAAAACAACAGACTGCAACAGATTCATTACTTAAGTACATATGAGTATGTAACTGGGTGCAATTAACTCACACATTAAAGAGATTTGCACAAATGTAAAACAGCAGTCTTATTATTAAATATTTTCTGTTTTAGAAAATAGTTATTTTTCAAAAAATACTTATGTTAATGTAGTGGGTTTTCATAAATGAATACACATTTGAAAAGTTTCTCAGTTTAAATTTCTTTTAAACAATAAACATTGACATAAAAAGATTTTGGAGGAATCTTAAGTACAAAAGGGTCCTGAGACCAAAAAGAACCCGCAACAAATTAAGAACTGCTGAGTCAGAAGATTAAGAAGAAATAGAATATTAAGAAGAAAGGGGCAAGGCAAAATTCATATACTGTTGTACCCTGACAATATCAGGGCCTGGCAGTCATTAGAGTCAGAGAACTCTGTCTGAAGACACAGAAGTGCTAAAGTGGTGGATAACAGAAATCACAGTAAAACAGACAACTGAGATATTTAAATCTCATTTGAACCAGCTTCTATTGCATAAAACACCAACTTCAGTGATCCTAAATTAAATCAGTAAGATTTAAAAAAGCAAATAGAAGTATTCTTCCAAGTTTTCTTCTAAACTCATGATATATAGAGGCAGTAGCTATATAGAGGCAGTAAGAACATTTTTACAAGTTCCATAATGAACACAAATTAAAAATCTACATAAAATTCCAATATTTCTATAGATCAGAATCTTTAAAACCTGACAAGATCATGAAAAATGAAGCTGTTAGCTATAAAAGTACAAGGAAGGTTCAGAAAGTTTGTGGGAAAATTCCATTATGTTTCAATTCCATTTTTCCATGAATTTTTGAAGCTATCTCATATAATGGAAAAATATAATAATTGAAATCAGCAAATTATTTAAAACAATAGACATTGAGAAATCCAGTTTCCACATAAAATTTATTCAGGTAATAGTAACAATATATCACATACTGAAAAGATCTGCCAAATTTTGAGCCAAGATGACTTCTAACTTACTTTTCAATTGGAAGGACATGTGGTCCAGAGATGGAGTATCGATACAGAAAAGTCAGAAACTTCCTGAATGCATCAAAAAACGGCCAGTGAGAAAGAAGACAAATGCATTTGTTAGTGTAAATTGTTTTGGAAGTATCAGACTTTCCATCTACTGATGGTGTTAATCCCAAAAATCGTCTCTGTTTTTCTGAAAGATTCTCCTCAGAATATGGTTCATAAAACTGAATAGCAGCACCATAGACCTACAAAACAAATAACATATTTAATGAAATACATATCACATTATGTCATTAGTTAAATATTTAATGTGTAGTTACCAGGAATAGGCATTATGTTGGGTATGAGGAACACAGTGGTGAACAGACATAATTTTTCCTTTCTTGAAGTATAAGAAGACTTACATAGAATTATTCTTGTCCTTTTTAAATTAATAAATCATGTTTATTGGGGGCTCTTTCAGCTCTTATAACAATCCATACATCAACTGTATCAAATTCATTTGTACACATGTTGCTATCACCACTTCCAAAACATTTTCTTTCTACTTAAGACCTTGGTATTAGCTCCTCTTTTTTTCCTCCCTCCCCCACCTGCCCACCTTCACGGACCCCTGATAAATTATAAATTATTATTTTCATATATTACACTGTCCACTGTCTCCCTTTGCCAACGTTTCTGTTGTTCATCTCCCTTGGGGGTGGGTTATACTTCAATCATTGTAGACAGTAGTTCTCCATTTCTCGCCCCCCCCTTCCCCCACCCTCATGGTATTGCTACTTCCATTACTGTTCCTGAGGGGTTTATCTATGCTGGATTCCATGTGTCGCGAGCTCTTATCTGTACCAGTGTACATGTTCCAGTCTAGCCGATTTGTAAGGTAGAACTGTGGTCGTAAGAGTGGGGGGCGGCGCAGGGGAAGGGGGGAAGAAGCATTAAAGAACTAGTGGAATGTTCTGTGTTCCACACTCTTGACTCATTCCTTCCTTGTGACCCTTCTGTGAGGGATTGTCCAATTCTGAGTCTTCTTATTAGGGAAAAATAAAGTAATTAAATTACAATGTTTTACAGTGAGTGAAAGCAACATTCTCTCTAAAAAATTATGGAAAATCATTAGCAGAAAATGGGACAGAATTTTAGATAAATATAAACTTCAACATTGGGCAAATCACTGAATATCTCTGTACTTCAACTTCTCTATTTGCAAATTGAGAATGTTAGACTAAATATTTCCAAAGTATGATTCCAAATAGCATTATAGGGTGTCCTTGCATTACAATTGAGCACAATTCTTAAGTCTATATTTAAACTGAATTTGCACCCAGGCTGGAACTGGAACCTAGGTACTGTTAGTGAGTTTGTCAAATTTTTGTCTCAGTATAAAGTATACTAAAACATTTTTGACATAATACAACAATGTTTTGATGCACATTAAAGTAAATATAACACCCATTTGTTATTACAAACCATCATATGAAACTCAAATTTCTAGTAGAAAAAGAGTTATGGGTTTGGTGCCCTAAAGGTAAGTCAGCCATACATGAAGGGGCTTCAAAGAGTTCATAAAAATTTTCCATTATTTTTCAGTTCCATTCTTTCATGAACTCTTTGAAGCTCCCTTAAATTTACGATACTTAATTATTTATATTCATTTACTGAAGTCTTTTTTACTACTTTAAATGTTTATCATAGAAAACAAATTAATCTTTCGCACATACACAAACACAAAATCAGGACCAGAGAGATGAGAGAGAATGAAAATTCTCTTCCTAGCTAGGTCTTAAGATATAGCTATTTTAGTCAGTGAATGAGTATAATGGGCTCAACTTAACTACTTATTTTTTCCTACTGTTCCTTGTAGTTTATGAGGGGGTAGTGCCTCCAAAATGGAACCCCCCTGAAAGCTATGTATTTAAATTTTTTTACAAAACAACCTATCATCTTCAAAGTACTCTCCATTATACTTGTCAAATCTCCAATTCCATTCTTAGAAACATTTTTCAAACTCATCTGTTCGGATGGCTGATAGCACCTCCCTTGCACCTCTTATATGTCATCAAATTGCTATCCTTTCATGTCCCTCTTCATTGATGGAAACAAAAAGAAGTCACAAGGAGTGAGGTCAGGTGACTAAGGTGTATGCAGCAAAAGAGGCATGCTGTGTTTGGCCAAAAACTGGTGCACTTAGATGGCTGCATGAGCAGACGCATTGTTGTGGTGGCAAAAGCATTCCCTGTCTGCCACAAATCAGGCACACTGTTATGCACTCTTTTCAGAAGCTCTAAATAGAAAGCTTGATTAACAGTCTGACCTGGTGAAAAGAACACTGGCCCTGCCCTCATATAAAAAAAACCCCAAATGAGCATGCGTTTTGACTCTTGAGTTCACTTGATGAGCGTTTTTGGGGTGAGGTGTCAAATGGCTTGAGTGATGTTTGGTTTGGGGGTTGTAAGAATAGCACCTTGTCTTGTCACCAGTAATGACCTTGGGAAAAATGTCTGGGTTGCTTCAGAGCTGTTCTTTCAAGTGCTCCATGTTTCCACTCGAAGCTCTTTTTCCTGGTCGTCAGAACCCAAGGGCAAATTTGACAGCGACCCTTCTCATTCCCAAATCTTCTGTTAAAATTCACTGAACCAAGCTCCAAGATAGACCCGATAACTTCCCCATCTCTTCAATGGTCTGTCTTCGGACTTCAAGCACATATTTTATTGACTTTTTCGTCCATTCAGGAAGTTGACTGATATCCAGAATGAAGTTTGTCATCAATTGACAAATTAGCCTTATAAAACAAGAAAACCACTTGTACACTTGAGTTTTTGCCATATCACTGTCCTTAGAAGCTGTATTTGACATCACAACAGTTCTGCTGCATTTTTCCCAGGCAGGAAACAAAATTTCAGTCTCATGCTTTTCCCTTAAATTGGACATCACAAAAAAAGAGGTTTGAGCGAAATTGCTTTTATGAAAAAATTCACTTTGTCCAGAGAGAACCTTCCCAGGCAACGCCACTGAGTATACACCATCTCAGAGCAAGTTGCTGATGCTGATGTACAAAGAAAAAGGCATACTACGAAATCTCTGCCCAGCGGAGCTTTGGGGGGGGGGGGTATCCCCTCACATAGAACTTTAAAATGTGTAAGAAATGTGTATATGTCAATTGTTTAAATAACATAGTACCTTTTCAGCTGAAGCTCCAGTCAAAACAAAGGTAGAAAACACAGGGAGAGGGTATTTGCTATTGGGTGGCCAGCATTCAATAGTTGCACCCATTGGTAAACAAAAGAGTGGTACAGATTCTGGTAGTGAGAATGACTCATAATCTTCTTGAGGATATCTGCAAATTAATCCTATAAAACAACAGTAAATATTAGGTCATTACTTCATAAATTCAGCTGCTTATATTTGAATTAGATAAAATGTTTTATTATTTAACACATTTAAAAGGCTAAAACATTGCATATATTCATCAAATAATTCTGAGTGAGCAAATATTGTAACTTTTAATATTAACTGACTGCTTAGTTTAAATCAAGGTTCACTAAAAAAGGCTAGTTAAGGCACACAAACAAAAATAATCCTATAAAAATCATCTTATATATTAGGGGAAGGTGGGAGGGAAGAGGGAATCGATCACAAGGATCAACATATAACCCCCTCCCAGGGGGATGAACAATGGAAAAGTGGGTGAGGGGAGACAGAGGACAAGGTAAGATATGAAAATAATAATCTATAACTTATCAAGGGTTTATGAGGGAGGGCGAGTGGGGGAGGGAGAGGGCAAAATGAGGAGTTGATAATCAAGGGCTCAATTAGAAAGAAAATGTTTTGAAAATGATGGTGGCAGCATATGTGCAAATGTGCTTGACACACTGGATGAATGTATGGATTGTGTATGGAATGTATGGATGTAAGAGCCCCCAATAAAATTATTTGATAAAAGAAAATAATAATTTATATATCTATCAAGGGGTCACGCAGTTGGGGTACAGGGGGAGGGAGAAAAAAGAGGAGCTGATACCAAGAGCTCAATAGAAAGTAATTGTCAGGAAAAAAAATTTAATTGTCTAGAAAAGAATGATGGCAACATATGTACAAATATACCTGACACAATAGATGTATGGATGATAATAAGCATTGTAAGACCCCTGAAGAAAATGATTGAGGTAGTTAGTTTATTGTCAACCTGGCCGATAAACACATGTGGGGTTAATTGAAGGGTGGAGGGATAAATGGCTCAGTGAGCCTCGCCTTTCAAGTTCTTGGGTCTCTTGCTTTCTGATGGTCCCACCAGGGTGCAGCTGCCTTAGCCAGTTCCCTGCTTCAACTGACAAGGCTCACTTCCTGCGAGACATCCCTGAGGAGAAGCCACATGGGCCTACCCTGATGCAGCCCTGGGTACTAGAGCACCCGTGTGGAGACCCCTGCCAGCGCTGAGATGCTTACACATTCACTGACTTGGCTTTCCTCTTGCAGTCGGCATCATTGAGTGTGTTTTGTGAGATGGAGGAGGAATTTGTGGATTGGTGTTGGACATATGGGTTAATGGGTTAATGTTGGACTTGTGGGCTTGGACAGCCCACTGGGTTGGGATGCTTTCTTGATATGCACTTAACCTTTATACAAAACTCTTTCTTACACACGAGTTTCTGTGGATTTGTTTCTCAAAAGTGCCCAGACTAACACAATGATAAAACAATAAAAATAAGTAATAAAAATTTTACACACAAACCTAAAAATTCAGTGTGGTCACATTAATCTAAATCATATGAATATACTGTTTTAGAATTTTTCAGCTCTCCATAACCTCTGGTAGATTTTAGACATTAAAATAGACATTGCAAAGAAGTATATATGTACCATCTACCACAAATACAAGAAAATTAATTATTAAAAGTCACATATTTACAATGTTTTCAGAATATTTAATATTATCAACTAAATAACTCTAGATTATATGAAGACAAGAATTTTAAGTGGCTATTAATAATAACTATTACTATTAAATTTTTTCGAGTGTTCTATGAATTCACGTCAGGTGGACAAAAGCCAGAATCCACTCAATGGCAACCAACTGGTCTTAGAATAGTCTGGTAATTGCTCCAATCATCTTCTAATAATACTTCCTAAACACAAGCTTTTTGCACTAGATTTTGTGGGACTAGAAATAGAAAAAAGATTTCCTGACCTTGACACTCTAAAGCGGTGGTTCTCAATCTTCCTAATGCCATGACCCTTTAAAACAGTTCCTCATATTGTGGTGATTCCCAACCATAAAATTATTTTCATTGCTACTTCATAACTGTAATTTTGCTACTGTTATGAATCGTAATGTGATTATCTGATATGCAGGATGTATTTTCATTGTTACAAATTGAACATAATTAAATTATAGTGATTAATCACAAAAACGATGTAACTATTATGTATTGTGGAATATTTATTTCTAATGACAACTAAATGAAATTTTGTCTTGAAGCATGATGTAGCATGGGTAACAGTCTTCACAGCGGGTACTCGGATGTGGCCAGACTGGCCTGGAGACGGACAGAGGAGTGGTGTCTCGGTTCCTAAGACCATCAGAAAGACGTGTTTTCCAATGGTCTTAGGCGACCCCTGTAACAGGGTTGTTTGACCTCCAAAGGGGTCACGACCCACAGGTTGATAACCGCTGCTCTAAAGTTAAGTAGAAGTTATCACTGCACATAAAAACAAAAGGTTGGTTCTGCCACAAAATCAATTTTTAATTTAGCACAAATCACGTACCTTTAGGACTCTAGCTTCTCATTTATAAAATTGGACAATATAAACTAAGTTCCAAGGTAGTTCTGAAATTCTCTAGCTAGCCAAAAATCGCAAACCAAGCTCAGTGCCATCCAGTCGATTCTAACTCTTAGTGACGGTACAAGACACAGCAGAACTGCCCCAATGGCTTTCCAGGGCTGTCGAGCGTCACAGGAGCACAGAGGCTCCTCTTTCTGCCATAGAGCAGCTGGTGCTCTCTAAGTGCTAACTCCCCCCCACCCCCCCAAGTTTATGTATTTTATTAACTACTGATTTCTGTCATTTGATTCTCAGCATTATTTAAACTAGTTCTTTTTTTTTTTAATCATTATATTTGGGGCTCATACAACTCTTATCACAGTCCATACATACATCAATTGTGTAAAGCACATTTGTACATTCATTGCCCTCATCTTTCTCAAAACATTTGTTCTCCACTTAAGCCCCTGGTATCAGCTCCTCATTTTTCCCCGCCCTCCCCACTCCCACCTCCCTCATGAGGCCTTGATAATTTATCAATTATTATTTTGTCATATCTTGCCCTGTCCGACATCTCCCTTCACCCACTTTTCTGTTATCTGTCCCCCAGGGAAGAGGTCACAAGTAGATCCTTGTAATCGGTTCCCCCTTTCCAACCCACCCTCCCTCCCAGTATCACCACTCTCACCACTGGTCCTAAAGGGATCATCGGCCCTGGATTCCCTGTTTCCAGTTCCTATCTGTACATCCTCTGGTCTAGCCAGACTTGCAAGGTGGAATGGGGATCATGATAGTGGGGTGTATGTGTGCGGAGGAAGCATTTAGGAACTGGAGGAAAGTTCTATGTTTCATCATTGCTATGTCGCACCCTGACTGGCTAGTCTCCTCCCCGAGACTCTTCTGTAAGAGGATGTCCAGTTGCCTATAGATGGGCTTTGGGTCTCCACTCCGCACTGCCCCCCTCATTCACTATAGTAAGTTTTTTGGTTCTGATGATGCCTGATACCTAAAGTGCTGAGTTTTAAGTTAGCAGCCCAACATGCAACTCACTGTGTTACCTGGACTCCTCCAATCAGCCAAAGGACCCACAAAAATCTACACCCTCTAATAATGAAATAGCAAATAGTAAAACCATCCAGTATAGAAATTGGGATAAATTTTGGGTCCTTAAAAATCTAAAGTAGAAGCAATTTTAAGAGTCTAGAACACTGTTTTAAAAATGATGTATTTATATATGTTAATAGGGAAACTCTGAAAAGGCGGATGCAAAGGCTGTATAAGTTGAATATAATCAATGTCAATGAATTGCATGTGCAGAAACTGCTGAGTTGGTGTAGCCTGTGCATATTCTCAACATCAAAAATAAATAAATCATATTAAAAATACACGCATTAAAAAAAGCTGAATCTGTATCTGCTCTCATTGTAAATAAGATCAATACATTTGATATTCTGATATATCTAAAACTTGAAAAACTTCTACTATGCAATATAAAATCACAAATTAATTTGTATTTCACACCATTATGAAGCATAACTATATTAGAACTATAGATTTGACTGAATTTAATATAAGTATTAAAGAAATGCTAATTAAAAGTGAAAATAATACTTATTTCCCTCTCTATAGATTGAAACATTTCAATAATTGGCATTTATACATATATATTATTTATTTAAACCTAACTCTTAACCTTTCTTTTAAAATTAATCTTCCAATAAACATGCAATAAATATACATATGAAGGCAAAAGTGAGAATCAAGAAATTTGGATGGTTTCTAGTATGTTATAACACTAACACATCAAAAAATTAGCTTTACCCCTTCTTTTACTTTTTTGGGCCATATGACACATTTATATCTTTAAGTATTTCATGAAAATATAACTTACCAGCTTTATAAGATATAGTGTTAGTCTTTGCCACTGATTTTTTATAGCATAAGTACACCGCTGATCCCCACTGAAATTTTAAGAAGAAAACAGTTTACTTTTAAAAGGCAGTAAGTTGAGAAAAGAAAACCGCTTTTATGCCCAGTACATCTTGTCTTCTCTCTGCTAGCTATTTTCAGTTGATTATTTCATAACCTTTTACTGGAGGCATTGCCCATTTCTAGAAGTACAATTTCAAATTGCTGTTTTCCCTACAATAGCAATATTGTGAGGAAAATTTGACCCTTTAAAACAAAATTAATGAACAACAATTTACATTTTATATTGCATTCAATCTTTGGGTAGAAATGACAAACTATAGGGTTATTTAATAAATACTCTTTATGCTTATAGTTTTGTTTTATTTTGTTTGAACTTCACCTCTTCTAAGAGATGGCCAGCTTTTTCTGCAGCCCCTTTTACCAAAATCATCTAAAGATTTGTTGAAATTTGATATAAGCATTTATCTATTCTCTTCTAAATCCATTTTAAGCCACACTTTAATTGCCATAGCTCCTTAAAAGAACGCAACAACTCCCATGAGCTAATAGTCAATTCTTACAACTTACAATTCTTACATCTTACGACTGTTGAACATCTCCGTGGATTTCAGTATCACTGGTACCACCTTCATGAGCCACTTTCTCTACTGGTTTTACAGCTTCCTGGCTACCATCTGGCCACTCCTCTCCGTCTCATGGTGTGTTATCCTCCCATTTTCCTTTTCATTAAATGTGAACTCTACTTTCTCTAAATGATCCCATACATTTAGTCTGATGGTTTCAAATAACAGCTCTTACTGAGGAGCTGCACTGCTATGTCTATTGTACTCTGTTCTTTACATGACAATAACACAAGTCTTGTTGCTTTCAAGTTTGTTCTTCCTCAGGGTTTCTCCGCTCAGAAAATGGCCCACTACTTACTCAGTCCCAAAGCTGGAGCTACTCTGATCTTTTCTCTCTTTCATGCACCATATCCAGTCCATCTACAAATTCAATCAACTCTACCCTCAAAATATACCTTGAATCTGAACACTTTACACCATCTTTATTACTACTACTCTTGGTCAAGGAATCACCATTGTAATTTTTACCGCTACTGTAGTGTCCTAAGCAGCCTCTTAGCTTCTGGTCCCCTGTCTATTTTTCACAGCCTGAGTAAGTCTTTTACATGCAAATCAGAACATGTCACGTGTTACTCAAACCTCTAAAATGAGTTTAAGCATAAAACCTCAACTCCTTATTCTGGGCCACAGAGCCCTATGGGACCAGGTTCCTTCAACTTGTCCCTTATACTGCTATCCCCTTCCTCCAATTTGTGCTAACATTACTGGTCTCTGTCTTTTCTCAAAAAAGGGTTATTTGAGCAAAGATCTGAATAAAATTGTGACAGAAGCAGAAGTGTAAAGGTTGTAACATAGGTGTGTACTTAGCAGGTTTGAGAAAAGGCATATAGCACACTGACTCCCCAATTTAAAATTATAACCTACTTACCAAGACTCTCAATTTCATGTTATCTTATTCTGTTTTCTTTTTTACCATGCATGTATCACATTCTAACATATTTCATGATTTATTTATGTAATATTTGTTACTTGGTGCCTATTACTCACACCTAAAACAGTGCTTAGTATACTATAGGTGCTCAGTATAGTCTGCTGTATAAATGAACCACAGCACTGTTCCTGAAAGAGGAAGGGCAAGGACCAAGGTGCTGATACAGAATACACTTGGTGTGTCCAAAGAGCTAAAAGGAGGCGATACGAGCAGAAGAGAATGTAGAAAGGATCTAAAGGGGTCAGATCATTAGTGTTTTTTAAGGTACTTTAGAGACTTGAATTTTCATTTGGAGAGAAGCAAAACCAACGGCGGGCTTGGAGCAGACAAGCGACATGATCTGACTTAAAGGCCACTGACAGCTGTGTTGAGAAGTGAGAGAGCAAGGAGAAAAGTGTGTAGACTACTACAGAAGCCCATCATCAGGAATGATGAAGAGTAAGATTCTGTACATGTTCTGAAAACAGATGACAGGATTTACTGTTTGACTGGACATGGTATATAAGAGAGTCAAAGAGGACTCCAAGGTTAAAGTGAAAGAACGAAGCTCAACTGAGGTGAGGAATAGGAATAAAGCAGGTTTTAGAGTAAACATAAGGAAGTTCAGTTTGAGACATTGTGTTTAGTCCAGGTAGACTAGAGAAACAAATCCAGGGAGACTCATATGTGTACAAGAGAGAGTTTTATATACAGGGCAATTGTACATTAAGAAAGCATCCCAACCCAGTCCAGTCCAAGCCCATAAGCCCAATATTAGCCCATATGTCCAATACCAATCTATAAACTCCTCTTCAGACTCATGAAACATATCCAATGATGCCGAGTACAGGACGATCACAGGCCAGTAGGTGGAAAGTCTTTGGACCCAGTGGTGTAAGTATCTCAGTTCTGATAGGGGTCTCTATGGGCTTCTCCTGCTCCAGAGGTCTGGTTGCATCAGGGTAGGTCCATGTGGCTTCTCCAGCTCAGGGCACTAGCGTAGTTCCACGTGTCTTGTCGGCTACAATAACTCCCAGCAAGTGAAGAGACAGAGAGAATCTCCTGCCTCCAGGAAGGAATTTCTGGAGTTCCCAGAACTCCCAGGAGTAGGGCATGCCCACACAGAGGCCTCATTGGCTATGACCTGATATGACCTGATTGACAGACTAGACTCCATCCCTTCACTCATAATCTCTCAAATTGACAAACAAGTATTTAACTACCACAGACATATTAAACTCTGTCACCTCCCATATGTCAAGTCAGCAGCAATCAAGAGACATCATATTTCAAACTATGTGATCATTTAAAAAATACAATAGAAATTTAAATCACAATAAATTTCTGGTTTTTGACTAAAGTATTGGAGTCTTCAAAAATAGCTCCTATATTGAACAATTAAAAGCAAACTAAAATGAAACAATATTGAAATATCACTTATTAAAGTAATACAGCATATAGAACACAATGTTTAGACAACTGGAAATATCTGACCAATAAGCAAACAAGAAAACCTCCACCTTTTATTTTTCAAGTGGAGCCCTGGTGGTATAGCAGTTACATGTTGGGCTACAATCTGCATGGTCAGCAGATCAAAACCACCAGCAGCTCCTCAGGAGGAAGACTGGGCTCTCTGCTCCCGTCAACAGTTATAGTCTCAGAAACCCACAGGGGATCACTACGAGTCAGCACTGACTCAATGGCAGTGGGTTTGGAGTTTGGGTTAAGCAAGATTTAATATACTAATTTTCTGGGGACACATTCTTTCAAAAAGTCATATGTACTCGTAAAAATCAAGTAGCTAATATGAATGTTGGTAAACTGAGTTTTATCAGGTAGGTATGAATTTTAGAAATAAAAGATCTTCCACCTCTCGATAAATCAAATTCATAACACTTAAAGCAATAGCAAGCCTTCAATAATAACCTTCGGGAAAAGTGGGATAGCTGACAATGTGGATGTGGTAGATACAAAAAAGAATATCCTATAAAAAAGAAACAAAGATGTGTCTGGGTGGTACAAATGGTAAGTGTTTGACCACTAATCACAAAGTGAGCTTTTCGAACCCAGCTACAAATGCCTTTATAAAAAAGGTCTATCTGCTTCCAAGAAGTTACAACTTTGAAAGTCCTGTGATGTACACTTCTACTGTGACACACAGGGGCTGTTAAGAATTGGAAACCTGCTTGATAACAACAGTTTAATTCGTTTTGTTTGTAGTGACACAGTAAAAAAAAACAAAAAACAAAGATGAGTCTGGTGGAAAAGAATAATGGAGTGCAAGAGTCAAAGTGCAAGAGTGTTTTCCAAAAATTTTCATATATAAGGTTCAGCAAGAAAAAAAGTAGGAAGGGTTATTGTTCTAAAATAACTTGAAACATCTGACCTAGAGACAGAGCATTCACATTGTGGTTTAACACAACAAAAACTTTACTTTTGGATATCTCCCATTTGCCACCATAGGAATTAAGTACACGATTTAAATACTTGTTTTGTTAATAACTCTACATTTCTAATTTAGCTTGTTATATAAAATAGTGATATTCAAAATAGATCTATGTGCATGTATTTACACGTTTAGTATTACGGTAGCAGA